TCGTTATGATGTCAATAAAATATAACAAAGAATTATTAACAATTAATTTTTAATTAAAATTAACAAAAAAGTATTATAAAGTACTTAATTTTACAAAATTATAGGTTAGATTAATCGAAATTAATTACTTAACAAACCAAAATTTATATTTGAATTAAAGTTAAAACTTTGACACTCAATATTTTTCGCAAGGAAATATTGTTAAAACATATGACATCAAGCGGCCTGATTACGATGGCCTACAGCCGGAGCTTTTAAGAGATCTTTAAATCATCCTACACAATGAGTCAGAAAACTATTTTGACACAACAAACTTTCAGAGATTTTTAGCAAGAAAAATTTAAAATTTAACTTAACGTTTTTTTTACATATATTACCTTAGTGTTAAGCGATATCTCAAAAGCTAATTCAAAATAATATTAAAGAACTATTAAATTAAAAACTTAATGAAAACGTAATGGTTTAAAAAAAACACTGGAGTACACAAGCATATTAAAAAAAAACTCTAAATTTATTCTAATAACTTGTTGAACCTCCTTTCCTTTGTATGATTTCATTGAATTTTCTAGGTGTAGATTTCGCAAGATTTTGACAGAAATTTGTTTCTATTTTTTCCCATTCTATCGTAAATTTTTCTCTGACTTCATTTCCTTTGGAAATTTTCAATTAATTAAATTTGTATTGGAAACGATCCAAAATTTGTTCAATACGATTGCGATTTTTAATCTGTATCAGGGTTTTAATTACATGCGGACAGTTATTAAGTCCACAATTTGCAAATATCAGCATTATCTTTGGGATCATTGTACTTGTAAAGTTTGTAAGGAGACAACATGTCCCTTTCTCCTGTACTCTATTTCAAGTTTTGTCTTAAAATATTCAAATACATAAATTTATCGAATTTGTCTGTACATGAATAAAATATAGATTTTAAACCCGTAAGCACTAATACAGCTCCAGTTCATCCTACTTCCACCTTATTTTATCGAAGGTGTAAGAATTTTCATTTGAAGATCAATATTCGGTTTCTGTCTTACTATCTGTTTCTTATCACCCTCAAAAGTATTGAATTTACTGTCGTCTACAAATATTACTAACAGGGCTTAATTTATAAAATTAGAAGTGCCGGAGACCGATGGAAGACTGTGAGGAACGCAAGAAAAAATAAATAAACAAAATATCTAAAAAATTAAAATAATTAAATAATTAATTAAATTTAAAGTAGGAGAAATGTAAACAGAAATCTAATAAATTATTAAATTAATTTTAAACAGTTAAATAAAAAAAATCCGACTTTGTCTTATTTGGGGCATCGGCTGGAATTACAATTCCACTTAGAAGCTAAGAAGCAGCTCAGCCGATCTCTGTCTGAATTTAAACCCTCATTATTCGTATAATATCCCAGGGTATGACCGGCACCACTCTTATTTTGCAGCACACCAAGGAAAAAATATAAGCGATTAAAACTCCACTAAGAAGAATCATGAGAATTCGAGACACAGTATTAAGATATGGAAGGAAATTTTAACCGAAAAGTGTAGCTTAGAAAATAAAGAGGTTAGAGTTCAAGACTTTCTGATCGCGATGACCTGTGGATATAATTCTAGCCGTCAAGGAGCAATTTTCGATGAATACTATTCGTTAACAACGTAAAAATAAACATAAGACTTCTCTATACAAGTGACAGCAGAGGTCCACCCCCCGTTTGGTTACATTATTCAGACAGTCTACAGGAGTTCTACAATAGGAAGTCACAAGCGTGGAACGTGCAAGACCAGAGTATCACTTTTAGTACTTTGAGGAACACAAAATTTGCCCGTTGTCAGAAATTCATTGCACATCCTGGAGAATAAGCCTTTGACATATGATTGGGGGCTTTTCTTTCCTTAAAAGTCTCAACCTGTGTTCAAGGTCTGAACGCAAAAGAAAGACAGGCCCGCATTCAGAAGTTAGAATTGATTTTGAAGGCATGTTTGCTATTAAAACAAAATTTGTCTACTAAAATTGTGTTTCACTTATATAGAAAAAAGTGCCAGAGCCCTTTTGTTTATTGCTCCGGCTAAATTATAATTTATCTCGAAAACTGAGAAGTACCGGAGCCGGACTCCGGTGGGCTCAGGCGCAATTTAAGCTCTGATTACTAAATTTAAAGATATTCAGTCTTTTTAATGCAGGTCTTGGTAAATTTTATTCATGAACTATGATTAGTTTTAGCTAGTAATCGTTTTCTTCCAGCTATTTGGCTATGAACGTTACATTTTCTTAAACCATTCCTAACGTTACTAGATTGTCTGAACATTCGGTTGACTCCTGAAGTCAATCTGAATGCCATGATTTTCGGAATTATAAACAATACTTCTTATAATCCACATTTTTTCGCTTTCGACAAAAGTACTTAGACACCTTGTTGACGGTTTATTTTCAATCAAATCTGTTATATCATAAACAGTGTATATTTTGACATTCGAGAGTTAAATTCGTTTTTTCTCAGATTTTTCATGGTTCCAATGAAAAATTATAAGTTTGCTTACATAAAAAGAACTCGAATGTTTCCAGCCCTTGTTTACAAAGTACCGTTTTAAAATTCAATCTGCTCTTTCAAGTGTTTCAAGACAATATACAGGGAGTCCCACTCGAAAGAGGCCCGGGAAAAGTGTGATGAAAATCTTATAATAGAAGGAAATGAAACCAAATTTTTACATAACATGCCTTTATGTTGGAGATATGAAAGTACATTATAAGAGATGCTGTAAGTGACCTGCTCCCACCTGTATTCGCAGCTCAACACGGTGTTGTATTTTCGTGTATATTGCTCCCAGTTTATGAGTGGTAGCGTGATGAAACGTGGTTCCATTTGTCAGGATACGTGAACTAACGTTTATGGAGTAGTGACAAACAGCATGCAGCCATCGAGGAATCCTTTCATTTGGGTGTACTTTGTACATTTATACAGCGGCCAATTTTCGGGCCAATATTTTTGCATTATTGGTACCAGTGAAGTGTACCAGACAATTTTTCACGAATTTGTGAACCAATTTGATGATGAGGAGCTGACATTTGGCTTACCAGTAAGAAGGGGCAACATGCCACACGTCTGTAGCGAATATGAAAGTGGTGGAATCACTTTTCCTGACTTGATCTCCCTTGAGTTTTTCCAATTGGGTCGTCAATGCCTGCAAGCACAAACCACGCATATCGACGATTTGCGCCAGAACGACCGCCGTGAAACCAAGGAGTGACCCCCAATACTCTGGCAGCAACATACGCAAACATGCAGCACCATGTATAACTGTGTGTGCTGGAATGATTGCCACTTACCAGGTGGAGGCCACTTTCAGTACCTCTTCTAATGCACTTTCATTTTTCAAATATAAAGGTATATCATGTAAAAATTTGGTGTCGTTTTCTTTCATTATAAGCCTTTTATCACACATTTCCGCGAGCCTCTTTCGAGTGAGACATCCTGTATTTAAAATACCTCATTTATTTATTATTTTTATGTAAAGTTATTCACCATAATAAATTTAGTACGGTATTTAGACACCGAAAGCAACAAGAGGTACTTAGTTTTGGAATAATAGCTAAGTTTTAATCACTTAAATTTTTTGAAATTTTCCTGTGCCTCAGTACTTTTTTTTTTTTTTTTTGGTCACTGTAGTTTCATATAATCTTGAACTACAGTGACCAAACAAAATAAGAAAATTTTTTAAGTATAAGGTATTTCCCCACCTTTTGGCGTGCCTTCGTGGTGTAGTGGTTCTGCACACTGGGCCGGTATTCCTCAGGTCCGTGGTTCGATTCCCGGCGAAGAAGATTTTTTCATCTTGCCTGCTTCCAAAAAATAACTAATGTCTCTCGCGCCCGAACTAAAAGGGTGGTGGAGGATGATTTCTCCCCAGGATTTGGCAACTGGGTCCCCTAAAATCCCAGCCGCCCTTTAAAAGGGGCAGTATATAAGGTATGTCTCCCACCTACTTGGCGTGCCTTCGTGGTGTAGTGGTTCTGCACGCTGGGCCGGTATCCAGAGGTCCGTGGTTCGATTCCCGGCGAAGGCGATTGCTCATTTTTCATCTTTCCTGCTTCCAAAATACCTAATGTGTCTACAAAGTTTCCTTATAAAATCAAGGAAACTTTATGTTGAACACCCCTATGTTTAGGGCTCCAATTTAGTTTAATCATACCTTTGAAGAAAATAAAAGTTTTCCAGCAATTCGATATTTATGCTAGATTGTAGATAATTTTTAATACACTTTTGCAGTTGGCAAAATAGCATATACCGATTTTAATTAAATGTATAGGAATTTCATTTCATAAAACTTCGAAAACGAAGGTCAGAAGTATTTTTTAACTTCCTTGCATTGTAAAATCCTTCCATCCCCCCAGGAATTTCGATGACTTTAAAATGTAACTGAGAATACAGACGACAGGATTTTGAAATGCTTATTTTCATGGTTTCTAAAATTTTAAAAGACAGTTGAAGCACAAATGATAGGGTTTCAACTTAAACGAGTCAATTTTACATCAGTTTTCTTATTTTAGAGAAATCAGGCCTTTGCTTTGACGTTCTCAAGAAGGGCGTATTCTCTTCACTTTTGTGCCAGCATATATGTAATTTTAATTTCGATATATGTCTTGTATATTTTGGCACTCATGAAATGTGCATTGGCTTGAGACACGTATTTGAGAATGTCTGCATTTAAAGTTCCATTTTTATTTATTTATTTTTATAGTGTTTCATATAGAGTCCTTAGCAGGAAGAACAATGTATAGGTAACATAAAATATTCCGAGAAAGATATTTAACGTTACGTATAAGTAAATTAAGAACAACGATCAACTATATTTAAATAATTAAAATAAATTTAATTGCCTTAATAAACCATTTTGCTTTGTTATAAAGTCATGCATTGCTTACTGCATCGCTAATTGATTATATAAAGTATTTATTTGATATTTGCTTTGCTTATGCTTGAAAGTAAAACTTATTTTTATTTCTTGCAGTGTTATTTTGGTCTTGCTGTCCTTCAGATATCAGATTCTCAGCGAAGGGCAGTGGTTAATTATTCACATATTCCAACTAAACCATCGCCAACTCCGGTCACAGCGTCGCCAAGCCGGGCAACAACACTGCCTTCTCTAGAGACTTCCGTCAATTCCATTTCGAAGTCGCCTACAGTAGCTACCGTTCTCAGAGGTTCAAGCAGAGGTGAGTCGCAGATCAGGTTAGATAAAAGAAAGGAGTCCACTATTGCAGATTCGAGTTTGGCCAAAGGCGATTTTGCTGCAACAGACAGAGCGCCACAGAATATCGCCAACCGAACACAAAGCGTTGTTAATGGCAATTCCACGTCAGTTCGGGTCCAAGGTAAACCGCAAACTTAGTGGTGGTGGTGGGCCTGCTGCTTATTATCGTTATTTTATTAATAAGCAAAACATGTGCTTATTAACTGATTAGTGTTTTGAAATAATTAGCTTCACAAGTATAACTTCTTTTCAATCTACTTTTCCTCTGAGATATTTCTGAATAACGTCTCTCCGTAGTTATGCTGATGGATAAATGCATTCCAGCACATACAGCACAATTCCAACACAAGACAGAGAAATAAAATGAAACAATTAATCAGTATATGTAGCCTGTTTATTAAATAATGTAATTTATATACTTACATTTTAGAACAAGAATGCATGAGGTGCAGGGCTTAATCTCTAAAATTAAAAGAACCGGAGCCTTAAAAAAGAAAAAAAATAAATAATTAAAATAATTAATAATTAAAGTATATAAATATTTAAATTAAAGTTAAAATTCAATAAAATGTAAATAAAAATTCAATAAATTACTAAATTAACGATAAATAGTTAAATAATAAAATAAAAATATCAGTCCTTGTCTTATTTAATGCTACGGCGAGATTTACAGTTTCACTCAAAAATTAATAAATAGCTCATGTAGTCTCTGACGGTATTTCGGCCTGGAATACACTGTATAATGCAGTATCACGTGATGATAGAAACAGACAATTTGACATATAGACAGCAACGGATGACAGAAAAGACTCTTCTTTTCTCAACACACCAATGAAAAAAATCTGATGTGAGCACCACATGACCTCCTTGTACGGAATATTAAATTATACCCATTTTTTCTTGCATTTCATTTAAACATATTGGACTGAATTAAATCTACTTTGTCGATAGCACATAAACTACAATAGAAAAAAATGTACTCTTTAAAATTCACTATATTTGTTTACCATAGAGACACTCTGGCCCTAGGTTCACTTAACAGCGTTATATTTCATTAAATTTTTAACTCAGAACGCACAAAATTTATATCATCTTAAGAACTACCTAATCGTTGGCACATGTTCTATTCAAATACTATAATAAATCTAAAACGATGTATAAAAGAAATTAAGCAAAGAACAACAACAACAACAACAGAAAAGAAACAGTTTTTCACAGACGATTCAGTATTTCTCATTCAATTAATTCAGTTCTCGCTTGGCGACAAGGCAAAAATACATTAAAACTCAAGATGCCTGTATTGAAAATTATGAAGTAAATCTAAACATTTATTTACTCGAATAAATTCCGCAATGAATTAAGCATCATTTAATACGCAATAACAAAAGAAGGCGTTATCTTTGTTATTGCAAAGCTTACTTTCTTTAGATTGACAACAAATCTACTATTCTGCTGTTTCAAATGTAAACAAGCAATGGCCGCCATGGAAAGAATTATTAGGCTTAGTGGCACTAAAACAACTTTTAAATTGTTCATAATTATAAACATATTGCATGCAGATTCACTAAAGGCATAAAAACCTTAACCAGAAGATAAGTACAACATAATTCAATTATTTTTAAAGCAAAAAATACACAATTTACAAACATATAAGAATAAAGAAACTGAGGTCACAGAGCCGAGTAAGAGAGTCGATATATATATATATATATATATATTATTTATATACTTTTGGTGCAGCCAGTTGCAACCAAAATACGAGGTGCACATCTATATGTTATAGCAGTCCTATATACAAAATTTCAACATTCTGAAGCTACTCGTTTTTGAGTTATGCGAGGTATATACGTACGTACGCCCCGAATTACGCATAGAAGCCACAAAAAATTCTCTCCAGAATTCATTTTAAACTAGTTTTACAATTTGTTTTGGGGGAAAAGTCCTTTAACCAGTCCTTACGTACACATGCCCCGCAAAAACATCGTTAAATTGCATTCGATAGCGGTGAAAATGGATATTTGCGTTGAAATATTATGCCTGAAACTTTTCGCGATTTCAATACTTCGTTTTTATTTCGTACAAGGAAGTAAAAAAGGTAAAACCGTTGAAGCATCGCAAATGAAAATAAAGAGAATACTAGAAACTCTATAACAGTATTGACGGAAATCTTAACGGAGAAGTGTAGCGTCGAAAACAAAGCTGTAGCAACATAAGAAACGTTAGGCTCTATATAAGTAACAATTTTCTTCCCCCATATTTACTTACATCGTCCCCCAAAGCCTGTCTTTCATTGGGGAGTTACTAACGCTGTACGTGCACGACCAAGGTTTTACTTTCGAGGTCGAAAGCTTTACCCGTTTTAATAAATTTATTGCACTTCCTGAAGAATAATCCTTAGATATGTAGGTAGAGAGCTTTTCTTTTCTTAAAAGTCTTAACCTGAGTCAAAGGGTTTGTTTTTCAGGAAAAGATAGGCATGCGTTCAGAAGCTAGAATCAATTTTTAAGGCTTATTTGTTATATAAATTTAAACTTTTCCACTGAAATTGTGGTTCATTATGTAAGGATTATGTTAATTTTATCAGCAGTTAAATTTTAAGTGAATGTTCCTTTCCTGTTAAGTTCTTAACTTCAACTTACTACTTCCGGCCAGAACGTAGTTTTAGAATCACGTCTAAATACATAATGAGGAAGAGCGGTATTTAACCGCGAAGTTTTTTGGTCTTAGCGAGAGAGAATCAGAGTTTCTGATTTACGCGCGTCTGCCTTCTCTCAAAGCTGTTATTACGCTCGGCCGTACTCAGGCCCTTGATAAGCTTCGTAGTCAAATAGAGTTAAGGGGCCAACTAAGAATCTTGATAGCTTCGGCTATATTTCGTTAGTTAATCTTAGTTTTAGTTTATTGTTTAATCTCTTAAGTTCAAGCCCAAGTGTCGGCTTTTATTGTTCAGTCCAAGACGGAGTTTTGTTAAATCTTATTGGAATAATAAAGGGTTAGTTACCCTTCCATCTTGTTTCTTGTCACACGAACTTAAGCGATTATTCGCTAACATTGTTGTTAAGATTCGTCACTTTCTACGGTAACTGAGAAGTACACTAGTGAAAATCTTACAATTTACATAAAAGCTCTCCGAATTACAACTTTTTCAAAAACTGAGAAGTACCGGAAGAATAATATTTCTTAGAACCAAATATTATTAAACTGCGCTGGAGCCTGACTCTAGTGGGCTCCAGCGCAGTTCAAGCTCTGATAAAGTGAATATTAGCATTTTTAAAAGTACAACATTTTCCTACAGAAAGCATAACGTTGCTTAAATTGATAAAACCCACATTCATGTTTTTAACACAACTCAGAGTGAAATAAATGAAATTTTTCAAATTTTTCATAAAGAAGTCCTTGAAACATCATTTTTTTCTTTTTAATTAGAATATGCACGAATGTGTGTTATTTTCTTGAGGAGGGGGGAGAATCTTAAAATTTCTTAAACACATTATTAGAACCATACTAAATTACAAATCTGAAATTACCTCTTTTTATTTAAGGCTTTTTTTATGATATCTTATGTATATATATAAATAGATGGATATTCTTTATGACTCAAAATTCCTACAATGATATTTTTAATGAATTCTTAAATTATCTACTTCTATTCCAATTTTAATCAAGAGTATACTAGTTAAGGAAATCCGATCTCTCTCTTCCTATCATTAACCTCTGTAACTGATTTTAACGTTTCTTCTATTCTGCACAGCAAACGTTCATGCGTTAGAGAATGAACTCAAGTCTTTCGACATGAAACGTAGGCACATTACATTGTTCGAAAGATCACGAGTATCACGTAAATATTAAAACCCACTTTCCGCAGGGTAAACACGTTTTTCTTGAGAGCGGGAAACAACGATTTTACATATTTTTGTTTCACAGTGACGCCGAATATATATGCATACCAATCGACTTTCCTGAATGAGTCTGTAGTACGAAAAATAAGCAGCAGCCACAACTCCTACTAATGATGCTTTTTCACTTGATTTCGTGACGAAAATAATGAGGAAGTAAAACTTTTGCAGGAAACAGGAGTTTGAAAATATGTAATCAATAGCTGAAAAAGGCTTAAATAATTATAATTCACGTAATAAAAGAGAAATATTACCCTTTTAGGAAGAGTATTATTCATTTTCTAGCAATTCTTATGTTATCGTGCTGAATGCAAATTACATCTTGTCTCCTTCATTTAACCTTTAACGGATATGAAGAGAGATATGCGCATAACTTTTTTGGTCAGGTCTCGCTGATTCATAAATTAAATTAGACATTTTGTTACATAATCAAAATTATAATTTTTTACATGTTCAGCCAGTTATTTGAAGAAGTTGACAGTAATTGAAAATAATTGCACTTGGTATTTTCACCGAATATTGTGAAGGCATTTTGTTACAGATGACATTTTCCCGGTAAATAAAAAAATATCATTAAATAAAATGTGATATCATAGTGCTCAGAAATCCATTTATACGCGTTAACAGATAATAATAAGTTCAAAAACAAAATAACAAGTTCAGAAAATTCATAAACAATTATTTTATTTTTATTTAAGTTTTCCATCGGTATTGAAAGAAGGCTAAAGTGATTTACTTGATATTTAAAAGTACGAATGCTAAAAACCTTATATTTATATACTGCTGTAAAATCGTTATGACTTATAGTGTAACCGATTAGTAATGCATGTCTAATTCAAAGTTTGGTTTTGTTGGTATACATCGAAACGTATATGAAAAATATGAAATTATCCCTGGCTTAGCAATAGATAATCCTCGTTTTAGCAATCATATTTTATTATTAAAAGAAAAAATTATGGGTAGTAGATATGTAATATTCGGCGTTAGAAACATCTTTTAATATTTATAATAATGCCACAATTATTTTAATTTATATCAGTTAAATAGATTATTAAAAATGGTGATATTAATTATTAGCCCAAAGGGGCGGTAGCCCAGAAGGGCTATTAGTCTCAAAACGGCATTGTCTTATTTCACTTTTTAAATTGCTACCACCAAATATTATCTTCATGTATTATATTAAAAAAATAAACAATGAAGAATCTGCATGAATCTATGTACGTTC